GCTGAACTTTGCACTTCTTCTCCAACTCATCCACCTACAAGGAAATTACCACCACAAAGGATTTTCTTTTCCTATTAGCAGAGAAAGCTGGCTATACAGAAAAATCAGCAGAGACACAAACAAGGATCAAAGTAGAGGACATATATACAGAGCAGAAGTGAACAATGCCGAAGTCCCGTTTCTCAGCCTTGGACTTGCTTTCCTACCTGGTTTCTTAGAAGCAGATTTTTCTCACTGGCAGCAGACAAGTCATGCAAAAGCTTGCCTTCCCGATCAGCACCTTCCTGCAAACAGCATCAAAATTAAGAACCTGTACTCACCTTAGTTCTTGCACTGCCAACCTACTCCAGCGAACACTACACCCAGCTAAATCCAACCTACCCCATAAACACCATGGCTCGTCTCCACACCTAGCACTCACCTATCTAATTTACACAAGAATTTTTGTCATGGTAGCTGTGGTTAACCCACTAAAATCATGCTTGACTGTCCCATCCAGCATCGCCCCCCCAGCATACACAAACCAGGTATGACCTGGAACCCTGCTCAAACCTACTAGGACTTATCCAGCTCACCTGCTTTTGCTGCTGGAGCTCCGTAAAGTGGCGCTCAGCCATGCTGGTTTGTTCCTGTTTTGTGGTGTTCAGTAGCTCTCCCAAATTGTGCACCTTCTGCTCGGACAGAGCCAGGGCAGCTTCAGTCATCTGCAGCCTATACAGAGAAACACGTTCCAGAGTCCTTTCTAAGGGAGACACTTCCAGTGAGCTCTCTACACCACATGGTACAAGATGTTAACACATATTTGGCAGTGGATGAAATCAGGCTAGCTAAATGAGGCATTTTTTGCCCCTGGGAAAAGGACACCACTTATCTCTGTACTCAACAGCCTCTGCAAACAGTGAGTGACCTGGGACTTCTCAGAGCCTGGTGTTCTGGTGCCCCATTGCGTTTTCCCTATGTTGTCTTCCATGAGCTGTTTTCCCTGCCTGGACCCATCCAGGATTTGCCCACTCTCACAGGAGAACAAAGCTGACTATTTTATAGCACTGCAAGGTCATTTAAAATTAGGGATAGAATTTGAAACACAGGAAGCAGAAGCTATTTGCTTACTCTGTACATGAGGGACATGTCCACACCGAGGCATGGCATAATGAAACTACCTTTACCTGACAGAACTGAACGAGCCAGGCTCCTCAGTGTTTGAAGTCTAACCACTGTCATATGCATAGAGCTCTACACAATCTAACACTGCTTTTGGGCAACTCCACCTCATTGTTCTTAAGCACACAATCTTGCTGGTCAGGTTCCTCCATATCCACAGAGGATACTGCCAACTGCCAGGGGAAGCAGGTACAGACTCTTGCCAGGCTGTAAACTGTGCAAGGAACATGCCCCCATCCCATCCCCACAATCCTTTTTTTTGCTTTTCACCCTCTGTAATTCACTTGCTCTTACACCAATGCACTGTAATTTTACTTAAAAGCAGGCTAAATATCTAGCGTGGCAAACCCAAAGGCCTGACCTGACTGCAATTTCTGGGTATTACTGCAGAACTAAGTGAAATAGTAAGCCAGCCACCCTACAAGATTATCCCCCTTCTTAACAGCTCTGCTCAGCACTGCCTATACAGCACAGAACAGTGAGAAGGTAAGGTTTTCTTCCTCCATACTTGGCTTTCAGTGAATTCATAATAGAGTGCTGCTCATCCAATGCTTCCTGCAGCTGGCTGACTTGTGCTGCAGACATCCTGCATTTGGGGTGGAAAAAAAAGAAAGGAAAAAGAAAGGGTGGGTGATTTCTGCCAGGAAATGGAGAGGGCCCAATTCTGCTACCAAAGAGCAGAAAGCACTCAGAAATTCAACTCACCTGCCACTCCTGGCTATTTCTTCTCTTTGCTTGTCTATAGTGTCCATCAAATCCAAGAACTGTGAACAAGGCAAACATCAGTGAGAAGATGAACTGCATCAGCTTGAAGCATTTACATTTCTCATCTTTCTCTTCCTAGTGACAGCTGAAGACAGGTCAAGCCACTCTACTGAAAGCAAGCAAACTGGAGGTTTTGTGTGTTCATTAGCACATCTGACTGAGGTCATCAACTATAGTGACTCTGCCCCATTAGGCGTCAGAAGGAAAACAGACTCATATTTCTAGGTTTTCACCACTTGGAAAATATCAAACCAGTTGCAAAAGAAGAACCGAAAGTACAAATACGGGTGAAAAAAAAATCACCAAAACTGCTCCAGAATCCAGAGTGATTATGTTCATCAGGGCATGTGTCCACACCCGTACTGTCATGAATCTGATTCCTGGGCAACATAGCTCAGAGGAAGGACCCAATTTACCAAACCATGCTGTGTGCCCGCCCACCAAGGTGCACATGCAACTTCAGGCGCACAATAATCCTGTCACTGAGTGTTTCATAGGGATACCAAAGGAAAGCATAGGATTCCAGCTGCCCCATTTGAACCGCCAACATGTAAGACTGCTGACCTGCTTGGTCTTCTCATCCTTCAGACTCAAAACCTCCTTGCTGAGTATGTACGCTCGGTTCTGGGTCTCACTCAGGATAGTCTGACGGTCTTGGTTGTGATCCATGGCTTGTTCTGATGCAGAGAGAGCAAGAGAGCATGCACATGTTTCTAAAGCAACCGAATAGCAAGCACCGCTGGAAGAGACAGCACTCAGAATGACACCTGGCTATCAGAAGCACCAGGACAGTAGCCTTTCTCAGGCTGGCCCACGTAGAGAGACTGCTCTCACCTTACAGACACGAGGTGGGGCGGAATCGAAGAGAGCAGTGTATATGGGGTAATCAACACCCCAGCCACGGGAGAGCCATTCAACTCCACTGTGGGTAGGACATGCTGCATTAGCCATATCCAAACTTGGCTACTCAGAGGCAAACTAGAGCCCCAAGTTCTTCCACATTCACATGGCATAGTTATCTCTAATTGAATCCAAATTATTTTTTTCCTCTTGCTGGTACAAGTGACACCTCCAACCTGACCAGCCCTCATTAAAGGACAAGAGGAAGCGATGTAGGGCACTGTGTAAATGCTGTTGATGAAGGGAGGGGAGGAGGGATAGCTCTCTTCTGGAGCAGCAAGTACCCTATTATCCCTCAAGTGCAGAAACGGGAAAAGAGTTACTGATTCTTTCCTGTGCAACAAGTAATACTTACCCACAGCTTTCAGGATGTCACTAGGAACATTGTTCCCAGCCAGCTCCAGCCTCTTCAGGGTCTTGTTGCTGTGCAGGCAGTTCAGCAAAGCTCGGCCACCCAGAAGCCCAATGTTATTCCAACGCAAATCTATATAGAAAGCAAACTTTCAGCCCAGTAGTCACACATCTGCTGAAAAACACAAGGCTCAAAAGAAACCATGCTCTTTATACATCTACAAGCATGGCTAACTAATCCCAGATGATCTCAGCACAAACACAGGTGAATACTTTCTCCCTTTTCAAGATGAACAAGAGGGAAGGAAAATGACAGACAAAGCAGGAAAGGCAAGGATGAATCCTAAGTGCAGTAAAGTGCAGGAAGCCATTACAGTTCAAAAGGTACGCAAGTCTGCCCTCACATTTTCATCTCATGAGCCTTTCTCCCACAACCACGATCTGTGGATGAAAAAGAACCGGCACCAAGAGCCACATTTTCCTAAAGGAAATTCTTGCAAAATTCCTTACTAAGGACAAAGCACGTATGAAGTAAGCCTCGGAGTCTGGCATGAGGCATGCCAATAGCATCCGCAAATGGGAATGAACCCATTCCCTCCTCCACTACGAACTGTTCTGCTCAAGCACACAATTTTCATCTGCAGGTTTGGTTCCAGAGATTCCAATTACAGTTCCCACTTTCCAAAGGCCATGGGCCTGTGACCTCTATTCCCTGCACAAAGCTGCAAAGCGCTCCAGACTGGTAGGAATTGGGAAGGACACTGACCAGTTGGCAGATATCAGGGCAGGCTGCAACGAACCTGAAGATACATGTGTGCGTGCATGCATATATGTAGGCGGGCAAAGAACTTAGTCACTCTTACCCAGCTCCTGAAGGCTGGCATTTTGTTTCAGTGCCATGGCCAGCTCTCCGGCTCCTTGATGATTGATCTGGTTATTGCGCAGATCTAGCCGCTGGAGAAAGTTGTTTGCTCCCAGTCCTTGGCAGAAAAAGGAGAAGCCCTCCTCCCACATGCCAAGGCTGTTCCATTCCAAGATTAGGCTAAGGAAAATCAGACAGGATTGGAGTTCATGGAGTAAACAGACAGCTGCAAGAGCTTGAATGATACCTGGATCATGGCACCCATTTGAACACCCAGCTCCCCTAATAGAGACTCATTTTCAGAGAGCAGGATGCTGCTAGGGCCATGCATCCTCAGAAAGGGCACCCCCAGTTTTCACTCTTTCACCTGTCCCATCCCTCGCAAGAAATTGCACCGCTTGACATTCCTCCTACCCCCAAAAAAACCACCCTCAACTCTTTTCTAATGTCGTGCTCCATCTGGCAGGAATAACAGAAAGAGAGGTAGATACAATTTTTTACCTCCTGATGGATTTGTTCTGCCTAAGAAGTTTTCCCAAAGCCTCAGCTCCCACGGTTCGCAGGTTATTTCCCTGAAACAAAAGTGCCAAGTGATCAGTAGGCTATGCCCTGTCCCAATCCAGCTATCCCATCAAACACCACCAGGTGCACCCCAGCTGTAATGCCGATTTCAGTCTGTCAAAGATGGTCTGAGTAACGTTTGTTTCACATACTAGTCAGCTTTCCAGAAAATGAAAGACCCTGGGAGGAACAGTGGATACATACACCATTAGTCTTGTGAGGCATCATGACTGAGAGCTCACAAAAATCACAGGATAGCACAGGATCGGCATGGCCCATGATGGGACAGGAAATGCTGACTCCAGATAAGCAGAACCATTTCGACACACTTCATTAAAAAGGGCTTGGCTAGCACCAGCACAGATGAGAAAGAAAGATGTGATGCAGTTTAGGACTGTAGATTCAAGGGAATAGCTACGTGCCAGAGGAATACAGAGAGAAAGTCACTCTGGCAGTAGAGCGATCATCACATCTGAAAGCGCGTGCTTAGTTCCAAGCCCCAGGCTAGCTGAAAGACACTGACAAGCTGGATAAACTCTACAGAAGCACAAGTCAAACAATTAGTAACTCACTGATTAATACAGAAACCCCCCCAAAGGCCTACATATGCCTCATCTGACCAAGCAGGAACTGACAAAAGATATACAGCAATTACTTCCTATCAAAACAGAGTAACTGAATAAAAACGGACAAAGATGAGCTGCAAAGTAACTTTGGAAAGTTGTGACATGGTGTTAGGGAGGCAAGGACTGAGTCACTTGAGAACAAGAACTCTACAGAAGTACACATCTTGTAGAACAATCCTGCACCAGAACTGTCTATTTCTAACTCTGATTAAGCTTGTGCTCCTATTTCCTTTCCCACCTCTTTGTCTTAACTTCATTCAAACAGACTCACCTTCAAATCTAAAGATTTGACTGTGGTGTTGGAGCAAAGACCATGCAACAGAAGTTTTACACCTGAGTAGGAAAAAAAAAAAACCAGACAGTTATTTATTTCATATGTGTAACCCTCTGCCTGAGCTGGAAGAGAAAGCATCCTTTCAAACAGAAGACGTGACTATGATAAAACATGTGACTTAGTACATGGCCACTGCTGCTGGAAAGTGCGAGTCTGAACTTTCGGGGCAGGAGATTTTTTATATATTCCTAGAGAAAGAGGTGCCTGGGTAGAGAACTGTATGTCACCCTACACACCTTCCTAATGCAGCTATGAAAATAGCCCATGTCCAGATAGGCCACACAGGCAAGACGCTTGCTGGCTTACTTAACGCCTGCTCACGCAGTAGGGACCGAGTAGAGACTCATCCTATCTCCAACAGGATCCCCGTTCAGTGCTTGCTAGATTTAATGATCTAGTGATTAGAACTAGCAGACCATCATCTGAATCCTCCTGCATCAGCAGCCACCACCAATCCGTCTATTGAAGGCCAACAACAGCAGACGTGCTCTCGAAGACGGGAAAACACCTCTAGCAACCGAGGGGTTCGTGACCAGCTCCACACCGCACTGCCACGTCCCCGCCCCGCCACCGAAACGCGCGTTACTTCT